GAGTGAGGTTCAACTTAGATTTGCAGTATGAAGCTTTCCTCTTCGTTACTTTAGGGTTACGGTAAGAAATTCCATCATGCGGAACCGTCGTGAAATATGTCATCTGACATAATTTTTTTCAAAAAATCTGAAAAGTCGTGTACTGGGGTTTTTCACGCTGATTCTAATACACTTTTTAACAAACGCTGGGATTTCACTTATTACGGTCTACTTGGAATAACTTTGGAAAGAAGCATCACAGGAAAGTGGAAATTTCATAATCGAAATCAGCGGCCTCCGTTACCATAGCGTAAAAGTTTTTGGCTTGCTTGGTTTTGTTCCGAGGCAGAATAAGGCCTCCAACGGCCTAAAATCCTTGTTAAAGTTCCTACCGTAATCCTACGGTAATTAAGAGTGATAGATGATTCGCTCCATACTGTAAATCTAAGTTGAACCTCGCTCTACAGAATGGTAGCTCAAGCTCGGCGAAAAACGTGAAAGCAAGGGAGTTATCAACGATCAAACAGTGTTCACATCTTTTTGGGACACCCTGTATATATTAGGTTGAACCGAAAGTTCGTTCGCACCATTTTCAAAAATTCATAACTCTTTAAATTCTTAACGAATTTGTACGACAAAATTTTGCCTAAGAGGGAAACTCATGCTCTTTGCAAATGTACCTGAACTGTTCGTTAATGTATGCAAATGAAGAAGATAGAAGCTCAAAATCAAAATCACTCAAAATTTGAATTTTTCGTGTAGGGTCATAAAAAATCGAAAACTTGCAACAAAAATCGGAGCAGTCGGTATTGTAGGTTCTTTCACCAGCTCTTTCTAACTGTGCAAAGTTTGCGCCGATTGAGCATCTCGGTGAAATGTCGTGATTTCCCTGAAAAATGCCAAAATAAATCAAATTCGCCCTTTTGTATTGCTTGCTCGGAAATCATAACTTTTCACCGAGACGCTCAATCGGCGCAAACTTTGCACTGTTGGAAAGAGCTGGTGAAAGAACTTACAACACCGACTGCTCCGATTTTTGTTGCAAGTTTCCGATTTTTTATGACCCTACACGAAAAATTCAAATTTTGAGTGATTTTGGTTTTGAGCTTCTATCTTCTTCATTTGTATACTAACGAACAGTTCAGGGATAGATGCAAAGAGCATGAGTTCCTCTCCTAGGCAAAATTTTGTTCGTACAAATTTGTTGAGAATTTAAAGAGTTATCAATTTTTGAAATTGGTGCGAACGAACTTTCGGTCCAACCTAGTATATAAAACTCAAAAATTGTCAGTTTGGAGGGTATGTGCGCTATACAACGCGCGCCACTCAACCGATTCAGCTGAAACTTTGCACACATATGTTTTCGACCCCTGCGCAGATGATAGGCTACTTTTTTGTGGCGATTCGTTGGCTCCTTCCATCGATTTATTGATTTGTTTGCGTTTTCAAAAGGAATTAAGGCTTATCATGTTTAATCAAGATTTTTCCATAGTCATGTAAAGGAGGGCAGTAAAGCTCATTTTCACCTCAGGATCACGAGGATGCGGTTTCGAAGCGGATGTCCCAGGGTAAGTCATCCATAACATATAAGGGGGGATGGCTCGCAGGTGAACAATGGCCCGGGCTGGTCCGGGAAAGCCAACTAGTGCTCTATAGATCTTTAGATATGTTTACTGTACCTATACGATAATGGGTCAAACATCAATGTGCTAGTATTTTGCATGATGGGCCTATTTGACATTGTTAACGAATAGCATATTATGCGAGCAGCGGACGCCTTGATAACGACCCCCCCCCTCCCCTCCCCGATTCCTCAGTACGACCCCCCAAGTGTGGCATGACACACCCCACGTTTGACACTGGTGATTACTCGTTGGACCTGTTTCGCAGTATCTATCTTGATGCCCATCAGACGATCGCTTATGCGCTCAACGTCAACTATATTGCTCCGTAGAGTCTCCGAAACAGCTATACCGACCCTGTTTCTGGTGCAGGTGGCACCGTTATACAGGAGCTTATATCCATCTATCCAACACCGATGTCGCGTGACTTTGCCCCGCTCCACTTTGTTTCCTTATGCAGGCTACATCAACTCGCCGTCTCTTTAGAAGATCGCTAACTCACGACAGTGAGAGGTGAGTGTACCCATACTGATGGTAGCTAGATGAGGGTTTGCGATGCCTTGGTTCGTTGCCTCTGGTTGATTAGCCGCTTCAGCCGTCCCCGTTCACCTTGCTGAGACGTTAACCCTCGCCTAACTATTCGCATTCGTCGGGCTCGAATGCGCGTCGCCTCCGGGGGACGTCCTAACCTTTACTCGAGATATTTTTTGAGACATGTCTGCTTTTGAGATGCGACGGGGTGTTTCTCAGCCGGCTTGTCGCATGCTCTTCTTTGGAAGGGCAGCCTGACACTGGAACTATCTGAAGTTAGCTACTTGGTAAGTTTGATGGATTTTGGCGAAAAATAAAAATGAAAATACGAAAAATGTACTAGAATGGCGTACTTGTTTGCGGATTTTTGGCCTCCAACATTCATGTTTTAAATCTATTAAAAGTATAAAGTTATGCAGCCCTGGGAACAATTTTCCATATCTCCTCAGCAATTTAAAAGTCTTAAAAGCTTCCCAGACATAAAATAGTGCTAATTGGTGCCCATCTGGCCATAAAAATCGCGCCTCTTGAATTCACCCACTTTCTAACAAGGAAGGGTCACAAAATAAATAACCGATCACAACTTGATGCACACAGTTACAAATAGCTTAGAAGTTTATCTTAATTCTGCCTTCCATATCTGCGAAATGCTTTTGGGAGAAAAATTGGCGTTTGTTATCATAATTTGCATGATTTTGAGTGAATACAGATTATGGAAATTGTACTATTTGCTTTATAAGCTCTGTAGAAGACTGGCTTCACTTAATGCACAGAAGTATGCTGTTCCAAGCAGGTTAAAATTAAAGTGCTTGAATGTTGATAGCTTCGTCTACTTTCCATCTTTTGAATTTCCCGTGAGTTAAAATTCATGACTTCCTTTCCAGAAGCGTTCTAAAGGTATGGAATGCAGTTTCGAGATTAACCTTTCAAGCGATTGTATGCATCTTGTGATGATTGAACATGTTGAATTTGCAACTTTTACTCGTAAGAAAGAGGGTCTAGTTGATCCAGCAGCCGCTCATGTGCCTATTATTTGGCCCTGCACACCGGATTCAAATGTCTCACTTGAGGTTACGGAAGACTTTTCTAAACTTTTTTGATGTTAACCGCTGGTCAAATTACTCTCACCGTCGCTTGTAGCGAGACCATGAACGTATACTTGTACTTAGCGTTGCATGTCCTCCAGTACAACTATCGTACTTTATAAAATCTGACAAATATTCTATCTCTTGTAAGAAAGTCGGTTAATGATACAGTGCTGGACATAATTATGCAGCCACTCTAGAAATCGTCGTAATTTTTGTTCTTGTCAATGAATCTGTCTGAAACCTTGCTGTATTGTGCGCATGTCAACCTACCATAACCCCTCAAAACGGCTTCCAGTCTTGTTGAGTTTGAACGGAAAAAAACGAAAAAAATTGAAAAAGCCCTCTTTGAAAGCTGGACAAAATTATACAGCCACCTGATTTTTCTAATCACTATCGCATTCGTTGACTCTTAAATTTTTTTGTACAATTACATCCCAAAATATGAAACATTTGCGACACTTACGGCCTGTCTTCCTACTCAAATAGAAGCAATCACTGCATTTCTTGCTTTTAAAAGCAAGAAAAGTCAATCTCCTTCAACAAACAACTGCTTTAAAGAGTTCTCAAGCTCTTGTTCATTCCAAATGATAATCATGGAATCTACTGACCCTTCTGGATAGATGAGGTGAAGAGCGCTTTCGTAAACTCTGCGTAATCGCTGATTTTGACAAACAGACTCCAACCTCACCATAGGGTTGACGCACTTTTGCACCACGAAACTCGATTTTCAAGCGACAGAAAATACTGTAATGTAGCCATTACGACAGCCATACAACAGTGAACTCGTGTGCATGACTGGGAAGAAATTTCGGGACTGAGCACTCTGATTCAGCCGCTGTTGACATTCACTGAATGTTGAGTGGAGCACCCTGTACAATCAAAGCCAACTCAGATCACGAGATAAAACCGGAGACGCTTAAAACTTTAAAATCTTAGCTAATTTCATTCATCGGGTGAATTATGACATGAAACACAGACGGAAATAAGGAGATCTAGGGTTATATCGAATCTTCCGCTCACAGGGAATTTTTGTGGAAAGTATTCCAGGTCTAAACCGCTACCGCATCATTAGGAAAAATCTGAAAGTTGTTGCGAAAGCTGTATTCCCATGTAGACATTGTGATAAATCAACTTTAGCACTTTGTGGACATTGCAAACTGAGTTTTGTGGTTTAAAAGCGTTCCAAGCATGTGTTGAGGTTGGAGTCTGTCCGTCAAAATCAGCGATTACGCAGAGTTTACGAAAGCGCTCTTCACCTCATCTATCCAGAAGGGTCATTAGATTCCATGGCTATCATTTGAAATGAACAAGAGCTTGAAAACTCTTTAAAGCAGTTGTTTGTTGAAGGAGATTGACTTTTAATGCTTTTGAAAGCAAGAAATGCCGCGATTGCCTCTATTTGAGTAGGAAGACAGGTCGTAAGTGTCGCGAATGTTTCATATTTTGGGATGTAATTGTACAAAAAAATTTGAGAGTCAAAATGCGATAGTGATTAGAAAAACCAGGTGGCTGTATACTTTTGTCCAGTTTTCAAAGAGGGCTTTTTCGATTTTTTTCGTTTTTCTCCGTTCAAACTCAACAAGACTGGAAGCCGTTTCAAAGGGTTATGGTAGGTTGACATGCGCACAATATAGCAAAGTTTCAGACAGATTCATTGACAAGAACAAAAATTACGACGATTTCTAGAGTGGCTGTATAATTATGTCCAGCACTGTATATACTTTTCAAAAATAAAGTATTCAAGAATTTTTTTAACATAACCTAAAATTTTTCTTTATAGACGAAGTCGTGCGGATATGAGACAAACATGCCTTGCAATTTTACTCAGAATATAGGAGAAGTTCTCAGAGGCAGAAAAGCCTATAATTTTTTCGGAGACCTCAAAAAGGTGAGAAAATGTCGTTTTTTATTATTTGCTGTTTAAGCTAATTTAAGCAAGCAAACACATGCTACAACAAAGAAAATAGAGCTTTCTGTGTTTGCAACACAGCAGACAAGTGCAATGGAAATTTCACTCTTTGGCTGGTAAGCACAATAACCATTTTGGAAATGAGTTAAGACTTGGAACTTTAAAGCAATACCCAAAGGAACTGATTGGTGCAGTCAATAAATACCTTCCTGACAAGTCTTATGAAGCATTCATATGACGAGTCCTTTTGAAATTAACGGTAAAATTGACAATGATCAACGTTTTACGCAAATTTACTGAAACCGCTTTCGAAATAGAAATCTAAAATGATGAAAAACGGAAAACGGCAAAGAAGAGTATTTCGGCCTCCATATCGGGTAGAGTGGAACAGTTTGCGTCAAGTTTGGAGGAAAGAATCGTTGCGGGACCCTTATGGTTATAATATTAGGGATATGCAAATCGCGAACCGTTCGAGGGCGCACATAACTGATTGCGTTTGTCAGAGAGGCATGCTATGCAACCAAACCTACTCTTTTTTCATATTTAAGTAAGGGAAAGGTAATCTAACCTAACACATTTGAATAATTCTAGATTATTGCTCTGCTGGGCCACTAACTAAGGTAGTAGGTGAGCTTTAGCGACCGTCGGCACCTACCGCATAAGCAAAGCCGCAAGGTTGGAGTGTTTTTTGAAAGATCCCATGCAAGCTTTTCTGACGTTTGCTTATACGCACATCTACACACTCACGTACGCGTCACTTCAGTCAAATAGAAATACGATTGTTTCAATCCTTCTTGATTTTGTTTAAATGTGTGCGAGTATTGATGCATTTGAAATTGCAGTCAACCGAAAAACTTGAAGTCGTACTTACTTTGTAAATCTAAGCGAGGTTGCGCAAAATCATCAATTTTTTGCAAATTTGAGCTGAATTATGAGAGTCACATTCTGGGCAAATGAAAACAGAAAAATGGGAGAAATCAGCCATAATCTTTCAATCTCAATAGTGGGAGTGTATGGGGTTTTGAAAGATTGCTTTGTAACGATAGTTAATTCATTCTTAGTTGTGAATACCGGTATCAAGAGAATTTAATTGATTTGGTACCCAAAGGACCAATGCAATTGCAAATATTTGTACATCATTTATGTCTACACCAGTGCGTCACCTCTGCTTCGCAGAGGCTCGCACTGGTCTTACTTTATATGCTTTACTTGTTCTCGCCTAATGATGTCTTTGAAACTCACCGTGTAATGACGACTACCACGAAAGAAATGTAAACAACTACTCATTTCAAAGGGTTTTTCATGTGAGATCGGTAATTTCGCGTGGATGGAACTTTTCGCAAAAGAACAAATGCAAACTCGATTAAGTTTTCAAACTTCTTTTGGCTTGGTAGTCGCCATAAGGACAACAATTACCGTGAGCTACATTTCTATGCAAAAATCCTCTCAAATGGTCAGGTAAAGCCACGACGGATTGATCATTTGCGCAACCATTTTTTTTTTGGCGTCGTTCTAGTATAGTAGTAGACCTTTGGTCACTTTTTCGCCTAAAGTCCATGTCTTGCACATCAACATGCCAAACTCATCCACGACTTTGCAAAAAGCGTTGACACAGACCCAATTTTCCGGGCCGGAAACCAAGTGGATCCGTCTGACTCGCAAATTCTGCTGGATCCACCCAACGAATCTGCTCGTGATTTTGTATGGTGGAGTCCTACGCTGGTAGCATGCGCTATGCAAAATTTGGGCTCAGGACATTGGCTGGAACTCGCTCTATGAATTTCGTTACAGACAGACGGACACACACACACACACACACACACACACACACACACACACACACACACACACACACACACACACACACACACACACACACACACACACACACACACACAAAGTCACGTAAACACCCTTAGCCCGTTATTATAAGTTATGATATTGCAAAATGATCAAGTTTTTTGAGAGCATTATCTAGTTGTTGCCATCCTCGTTTAACATAGCGCAAACTGACATAACTGATGTGGAACGCGTTGAGCCGTTGAAGATTTATTCGAAAAACACAAGAGTTCCCCCTCTACCTATCGGCGTACATGCCGAGGGTTCACTAGGAATAACTAAAAAACAACACACATATCCTACTATAATAACGCGCTAAGGCCGTCTGTTTTTTTTGTGTGTCTGTCTGTGTGTCTGTGTGAAAATCTGTCTGTCACGAAATCCGTAGAACGTGTTCCAGCCAACTTCCTGAGCCCAAATTTTGCACAGCGCCTGCTACCAACATGAGAGTCTACTATACAAAAGCACGAGCAGATCCACTATGTGGATCCCTCAAAAAATGCGCGTCAACCGGATCCACATGGCTTTTGGCCAGTAAAATTGAATCTGTAGCGCAACTTTTTGCAAATTCACGGATATTTTTGACATGTTTATGTGCAAGCCATGGTCTTTAGCCTAAAAAATTGAACTAAAGTTTGTTACTTTGCGAAAACGGCGCCAAAAAGAATTGGTTGCGTAAATGTGCAATTTACCAAGATTTTACCCGATCGTTTGAGGAGATTTTTGCACAGATATGTAGCCCACAGTGATTATGGCATCTTATCGCGAATATCAAGTCATGAAAAGTCCAAAAACCGACTCAAATTTGCATTTGTTCTTTTGGGGAAAGTTTCAACCAAGCGAAATTACCGACTTCATGTGGAAAAGCTTTTGGAATGAATAGTTGTTTACAAATTATTTGTGATAGTCTGCATAGCGCGGTGAGTTCCACTGTCATTATTGTGCGAGAATGAGTAAGGCATACAGATAATAGGGCCAGTGCGAGCCTCTGCGAAGCAGAGGTGAAGCACTGGTTACTTATAATAACGGGCTAAGGATGTTTACGTGTTTTTGTGTGGATGTGTGTAAGTCTGTCTGTCTGTCACGAAATTCGTAGAACGGTTGCCAGCCAACATCTTAAGCCCAAATTTTGCACAGCGCATGCTACCAGCATGAGAGTCCAACATACCAAAGCTTGAGCGGATCCGTTCAGTGGATCCTTTGAAAATCACAGCCAGACGGATCCACTTGGCTCTTGGTCAGTAAAATTGAGCCTTTAGCAAGAGCTTTTGCAAAGTTCTAAGCCATGTACTTTAGCCTAAAAAATTGAACTGAAGTTTACTACTTTGCGAAAACGGCGCCAAAAAATATTTGTTGCGTAAATGCTCAATTTGCCAAAATTTTACCCAATCATTTGAGAGGATTTTTGCACGGAGATGTAGCCTACAGTGATTATTGTATCTTATGGCGAAAACCAAGCCATGAAAAGTCCAAAAACCGATTCAAATCTGCATTTATTCTTTTGGGGAAGGTTCCAGCCAAGCGAAATTACCGACCTCACATGAAAAAGTCTTAGGAATGAGTAGGTTGTTTACAAATCCATCGTGATAGTCTGCATAGCGCGGTAAGTATCATTGTCATTATTACGAGAATGAGTAACGCATACAGACAGTAGGACCAGTGCGAACCTCTGCGAAGCAGAGGTGACGCACTGGTATATATATATATATATATATATATATCAAGGTGCGGCGGGTACGCCGCAACCACAGAGACCATATCGACCTAGCCTATAGTGAGTAAGCAAGTTCCAATATAAGGGACGGCTCTACAACACCTCCCTTCTAAGATGAGCAACGGTACATTTTATGATAAGGATCTACTTGTAGACGTTCTGGTGGGCGACGATGGCGACTTGGTCTGGTTGATGTCGGTGGCGTAGATGAGGTGGCTTGGTGTTCAGCAGCATCCATACCATTGTTACGTCGGCCTTCGTCGGGGATGGACTTTGTTGAGTCGTAATGTCGATCCATACTTGCTGCGCGGCGCATCTAATTGGCATGTCGCCTTCATAACTAACCGTCTTCCATAAGCATGCCATATAGCGCTTCTCATTATCGTTTCTTCACTCGTGCTGGAATCCATTTTACACATCCAGAGCGAAAATCACGAAAATCAATCGCCGCTCAGCAAGTATGGATCGACATCATGACTCACCACACGGCTTCTTGTGACTGGTACGATTTCTTTCGTGCTCCGTGACGGCGCTTGAACTGCTTCCCCATAGATTTATTGCCCATTCCTTCTTCTGTGGAGTCTTCGTTCAGCAGCAACAGGGGTGTCCTTATCTGACGTCCCAGGAGCAGCTCGGCAGGCGAACGTTGTTTTGGAGCAGTTGTACAAGGCGTCCGTCGATAAGACTGCAGAAACTCCGCAAGCTTCTCTGCCGTTCCTCTCTCCTTAATTTTCTGGAAGGTTCTCTTGAAGATATCCACAAACCTCTTCGCTTGTCCGTTTGATTGTGGATGGAGTGGAGGTGAATGCATATGCTTGATTCCTCGCTCTTCACAGAAATCTTGGAACTCCCTTGCTGTGAACTGCGTCCCATTATCCGACACGATCACACGCGGATTTCCAAATCGTGCGAATAGAGATCTGAGTTCCTTCAAGATGAAGGCATCTCAAATACTTCTGGCCATTTCGAGTAAGCGTCAACTACGACGAGATACATCTTACTATTCAGCGGCCCTGCGTAGTCAATATGAAGTCGATTCCATGGTTTCTGTTCCATTCTCCATGAATGCAGTACAGTCTTTACTGGCATCTTGGCTGCTTCTTGACATGCCCTACAACGGCGCATTGAGCTCTTGATGTTTCTGTTGATGCCCTTACTCTTTGCGCACTATCCTAGGTCGCTGTTGAAGACTTCCCCATGCTTCTTCTTTAAGTCGGTGACCACTTCGGCTCGAATTTCTTTCTCGCTAGTCACCTTCCTGCAGTTGTACTTGGTCTTCAGTTTCTTGTAGGCTGGCAATTAGATGCACCATTCCAATCCCAGGAGATTCGAGCCTTCGGTGACATAGCATGTTTCTTTTCCATGGACCATCCGTCCTGTAACTCGATCTTTGACCGAGAAGTCCGTTAATAATTTACCATCGATCTGCATTGGCGTCCCATCTGCAGTTTAACAGGCGCACAGCGTTCTAAAGCTGGAGATCCCATCCTCTTCTAGGCTTTACGGGATATCAGCGTTATATCCGCATCCGTGTCCAACTGGAGCTTGAGAGGACATCCTTTG